GAAGTAGCAAAAACGGCTAGATTATAAGGCGAATGTAGAAAACTAAAAACAGGAACATGTCTGCATTGGTTCTTGCCAGGAATTTAACAAATGTTTGAAGCCACTTAGAGAGCTCAAGGTCGAGAGCTTCAGATCTTTTTGTAAAATATTCCAGGAAACAGAAGTGGAGAAGGACAAGGCCCTTTTGCTTAGTTCAGTCTGCACGGAGGGAACACTACATGTAATAATGTCCTGAGAGCGCATGCTGTAGCTGCACTCACACAGAGACATAAGAGGAGATGTATGAAGGCCCAGTTTAACTTTCAGTTTCTTTACCAAGTTTTCCACATGGAGCTTAAAAGAGAGATACCAAGATACCCAAATATTTATAGGAATCAACAAACTCAATGGGGACACCATTTGAGGATAAAATCAGAGGAAGAACTGCTGGGACCAACTTCCTGTTTGAAAAAAGCATCCCTTTGGTTTTATCGGCATTTAGGACAATTTAGGTTTGAGGTGGAACAAATCTGACTGGATGATGTCAAAGGTGGATTGCAAAAGCTGGAAAGCCTTAGCAACTGTTTTAGCTCGACAATAAACAACTTTGTCATCAGCATAAAAATGTAAGAATGCATCAAGGATGCTCTGACCTACATTTCCTATGTAGATTGTAAAGAGGGTGGGTACTAAGACTGAGCCTTGTGGTACACCATTTTTGACTGTTAAATAATTTGAGGAAGTACCATTATGTTGAACACATTGCCTCCGATCTGAAAGATAGTTATAGAACCAACGAATGGTGTGATCTGAGAAACCAATTTCTGAGAGTTTATGACACAAGATGTTATAATCCACAGTGTCAAAAGCTTTAGACAGGTCTAAGAAAAGTGCAGCACAATAATCCTTAGCATCCAGTGTTTCACCAATGTCATTAAAAACCTTCAGTGAAGCAGTCATTGTGCTGTGTTGTTTCCTGAAACCAGATCAATGGGAGGTAAGATGTTAAATGTGCCCAAATACTTTTTGATTTGAGAGTTTATCAGTTTTTCTAGAGCCTTGGCTAAAATGCAGAGTTTAGAGATTGGTCGGTAGTTGTTCAGTGAGGTTGTCCTACAGTATAATAAAGTATGTTTTGTTGATGGGTTTCTCTGGTTGTACACAGTGTGGTGTTAATGTTAAACACAGACATATAAAATATTTTAACTTAATTTTGGGGGTACATTGCCAATGTACATATCAGCACGGTGTGAATGAACACCATGATGAAGCCACTACAGCCAAGGCTGTGCCCTGCTGAATCCATTTGTTCTGTCAAGTGTGATAACATTATTTTGCAGGTGTTAAGTCTGGTGAAATGCATTCTGTTGGAATAATTTTTTGGTCCATGCTTTTCCAGACAAAGAGGCTGTGAGACATTGGTCTGGCAGTGTGTTTGTAAACCTTGTCAGAGACCAGAATAAGATATTACCTTGGGTGGACTGGAGCGGCCTTTGTTTAGAGGACACACAGATGATGCATTGCTTATGTGATGTGATTAGAGCCAAAGAAGCATGACGCAGTGGCAAGTGGAGGCAATCTCTCAGGGTCAACCAACTGGAAACTAAATTAAAATGGGCCTTTGGAACATGGAGGCTGGAAAGCATGGCCAACTCAGGTAAAACAACTTTTCACTTTCTATTGCAGCCAAACATTTACTGCATAACTACACTAGATAATTGAAGAGAACAAGGTTGGACATGCATGTGAATGTAACAAATGTGTCTCTGTGTAAAAAAACAAATCTGATTTTCTTGTTTTGGATCTTTTCAGTAAAAATTTAACAGTCATTATTATAAATATTATTGCTCTTTTAGTTTGTAGGGGAATGCAAATCTGTGTTATGGCAGACAGACTCCCTTTAGTCATAACATGAAAACCAGACTGACCATAAATATTCAGAGATTATACTGATGGCAAGGTCCTAGGTCCTAATGTTGCACATGCTGACTTACAACCAGGGCTTATAGATCAATTGATGGAACTGAATCATTTCAGTAAAACCTGTGATTTGGCTTCAAGTGCAAATGGATAGTTTGAATATGTAGAATTAAATTTCTATTACATTTTTAGAACATTTTCCACCTTCAACAAGATAGTTTTTAGTGCAGATCAAAAGCATATGGAGAAAAAATTATCACCAATACTCAATAGTGGGAGTTCAACTCTGAGGCTCAGCTTTATAAAGTGTTTGAGACGTTTATATACGAGTCTTTTGGAACATATTTAAATCCAATTAATTTTAATTTTCAACAAAAAAGACACCAGGCTTGGACTGATGCAATTGTTGCAGAGATTTCTGGTCGTTCATGAGCTGTGCTAGAAATGAGTGCAGACCTGCTTAATCCTGTAAAGTCAATGCATTTATAACAGCCTATGATGCTTTTGCATGTGCACTGCTTGTCTTTAATATTTGCCAAATATCTCGAGTAAATTGATGGATTTTAATTAAACTCTCAAAAAGTCATCACTGGATGTACATCTACAATTGATTATTTTTTTGAGTTCTCACCTTTCAAAATGGCCACCACAGCTAAGGAATCTTAAACTCAAACTGGCTGTAACTCAAATAATTTTATATACATTGAACTAATATTAAGTGTGGTAATAGCTGACAGTTATACAAAACACATACTCTGAGCACTACATGAGTGTGGAAGATCTGTTTTAAAACGATGCCAATTACAGTCAACTCTGGCTGTCTTTTAGCAAAATATCTCCTGAACAGCAAAATGGATTTTAATGAAACTTTTAAGAGCGTGACCATGAGGATGAACCATTTACAACAGATTAACTTCTGAAATCAATCCATTTCAAGCTGGCTGCCACAGCTGAACCAACACAAAAATGGCTACAATTCAGCCAATCGAATAGACATTAATTTAAAATTTGGTATGGTAGTAACTGAACATAATCTTTAACACATAATTGGAGTGCTACAAATGTAGCAATATACTTGCTTAAAGCTTTGATAGTGTGGATACCAGCAGTTAATAACAAATATGTAAATACGTCAAATGCTAAGATCACCCAAGATGTCACAACATCCCATGGGACCATACATGACATAGTTTATTTTAAGGTATAGTTCAGTAGACTCAGTTTGATTGGGGACCAAATTCAGAATAATTGTTTACATTTTCAGCTGGTGCAGTTTGCATTCACACTGCACCGAGTCCGTCGAGTGAACCTGTCTCCCCCCCACTCGCCTGTGGTGGCGCTGCACCAAGAACTACTGAAGGAAATGACACAAAAACCTCTGATGATGACTTTTCTTCTTCTTCTTCTGGAAATAAAAACAAACATGGAGTGGCGTCAAATTTTATTGGTTTTAGGATATCTTTTATGTCACTTTTCAACAATAGGCTCAGTATGAGTGGAAGATGAGGCAGAAAACCATGGAGAATGTTGTTTTTCACACAAGGCGGCTGAGACGGCTCTGTATGAGTTAAGAGAAATGTGCGTTTTTTCCTACACTGGCAGCACGGTGGCACAACTGGTAGAGCTGCTGCCTCTCAGCGAGCAGGTCCTTGGTTCAAACCCTGGTCCAGGGGCCTTCTGGGTGGAGTTTGCATGTTCTCTCCGTGCATGCGTGGGTTTTCTCCGGGTACTCCGGTTTCCTCCCACAGACCAAAAACATGCATGTTAGGCTGATTGGTAACTCTAAATTGTCCCTAGGTGTGATTGAGAGAGTGAATGGTTGTTTGTCTCTATGTGGCCCTGTGATGGACTTGCGACCTGTCCAGGGTGTACCCCGCCCCTCGCACAGTGATTGCTGGACATGGGCACCGGTGACCCCCGTGACCCAAAATGGAATAAGCGGGTAAAGATAATGGATGGATGGATAGATGTTTCCTACGCTGTAGTCCACTTCCTGCTCTTGGATCGGTCTCCAGTCCTCTTGCATTCACACTGCATTCGAACCGCGCTGGAGTTCACTTCAACCAAACCGAGATCTAGGTTTTTAGGCGGACCAGAGTTTGCTTTTTTGGGTCCGTTTCAGAGTTTGAATGCACATTCACACCTCACCAAAGGAACCGGACTTTCTAGGCAAACGGACTAGAGTTCGATTAAAGCGGACTAAAAAGGGTTAGTGTGAATGCACCCATAGTGTAAACTTCTGGCATGAAATAGACATTGTGTCTGGCCTTTAAATATTTGTCTTGTCAATCAAATTAATATCAAAATGAAAATGTTTACAGTTGTATCTGCAGCAGGTTTTGGCATCTGTAAGAAAATGTGACCTGATGAATTAAAAGCATTCCCAACAATACACGTCATGCTCTCAAAGCTGTACCAATTTTGGCAGCACCTGTGGGGCAAAAAAAAGAGTGACAAGAGGCTTTGTGCTTTTTTTTTAGTACAATCACACCAGAAAAATAAAACCATCTGTGCTTTCTGAAGACACTTTTTTTCTTCTTCCGGTGACTGTGAGAATAATTAGAGTGCACAAGGCCAGAAACCTGATGGAGGTTAGAGTGGTTTCCAAAAGAAGCCACATCAAATACAAGCTGTACTGTTGTTCCTCACAGCTGGCCTTGCAGGTCTACAAAAGAGAATTGATGTTTTCATAAAACCCACAAAGAATAGCAGTGGTACGAGCGCCGACAGGAAAGTTAGCTTAACCAGTAAACAAATTCAAAAGATAAAAGACAGACACGTCATAAAAAGGATTTTAATATCCTAATTGTCGTCAGAGGACAGATTTCAAATTTTCACTTTTTACAATATATTACTATCGTTAGATGGTTTTGTACATTTTGTTATGTTTATAATTTAATTTTAAAATAATTTTGTACATGCTTTTGGGGCTGACATTCCCTGGTCAGATGGAGCAGAAAAATAATAATAAAAAAAGGCACGATTGCTCTTGTCCACAGTGAGCGATAGAGTCTGAAGAAACAAAGAAGTGTAGTGGTTTGTGTGAGAGCAGGTGAAATTCCTCTTGACTGGATGATGGTCAGCCCCTTTAAAGCCTATTACACATCTGTCCAGGGTGGTGCATTATGTCGACAGCCATTTCCTCAAATTACCTTTCAAAACGATCAATTTTTGTAGCCACTGACAACAGTAATCTCTCCTAATTTACTCCAATGTGCTCCGATTAAAGTCAGTAGACACACCAGCACACACACTTTTCCCCCAAAGATTGGAGATTTTTGCAGTAGAAATCCTGCTGTAAGATACTGAACCAGTGTTGGAGACTTCACAAAGGTGATATGTTCTATACATATGGCTGAAGGTCAGAAAAGTGGTCAGTTTCAAACACTGCAGCTGGCCTTAAGGTCTGGTGTGAACATCGAGCGTAGAGTTCATCATTTTCTTCTTTAAGACAGTGTAAGAAAAGCTCTGAGGAAAGCTCAGTGTGTTGTGCAGTCTGTGATGTGAAAAACCACACAGTTCCTGCTCCTCCCTGAACTGTCCATCGTTCAAAAGCCAACTGTGATTAAAATCACCGTCCAAACCGGTCAGAAGTTGTTGTTTTTTTATCAGTGCCTGGGATGTTTAATCCAGTTTCGTATCATCCACTTCTGACTGGAGCATCTCTGGACCACCAGACGTAGGCCAAAATTGGCGTCTTTAGACATTTCGACTTCCAAACACCGACCAGTGTCTCTGTTAATGATTGGTCCATTCTGGGAGGAAAAAAGGACCTGATGTAACATTGCAGTGAAACTGAGCATAATCACCATATCTTTATGTCTAGTATGGCAAAGACAGCGGGTGTGTGCTTTTTTATTTCACCTGTGTAAAGTCCCAAAGCCTTTGAGAAACCCTTGAGACGACGTCACATTTTTTCAGACTGGGTGTGCGTCCTCTGCCATCATCGATGAGGCATTTTGTGTCTGGTAGGAAGGTCGTCGACCCCAGTGGTCCAAGCTGAAGAAGGCCTTCTGTAGAGTAGCGGGCAAGCTGCAATACATAGTTAAATACTGTTACACTGCCGGGTCAAGTACTGTAGTAATTTTTAGGGACTTTTTGGTGAAAAATTATGGATGTTTTAACTTCTATGACTGAGAATGTTAACTCTGCCCATGAATCATATGTTTGGGTTAGCAGAGAGAGGTGGCTGAGGAGCTGGGTGAGGCTGCTACATGCAGCTGTTGCTCCAAGGACACCACCAAGTCTGTGAGCTCGGCTGAACTTATGAGTATAAAAATAAGCTTTTGACAACTCATGGCATATTCTCATGACCGACTTCATGTGTACTTCCTAAATATCTGTGTAACCAGTCCTGAAAATCTGACCTTGCAAGTAATTACCAGTTAAAAATCTTCTCCTGCTCTCAAGTGTGGTTCTTCTGAGTAAAATAAAAAGTGATTTTTTTTCCTCAAACAGTGAAAATAACTGTTTCAAGTTATACAAAAAAAAAAAGTATTTTTTGAGTGCATCTCTGGAAATCAGATGCTATAAATGTATCTTATTGAGAAAACATGGCTGGATGGGAGCTGTAGTGATGCTGTTAAGTATTAGAAAAACAGAATGATGCACAGACAAAGGACACATTAATATCCGGAGATCTTTTTATTAACCTTCTTTTTGTGGAACTGTTGACCCTGTTAGTTCAGCATCCTTCAACTCAACACACCATTCCAGGTATTCTGCCCTCTATCACACAAATGTAAAGAAACTAAACTGCACTAAAAACTTTCCCTACCTCTGTCAAATTAGATTTGACCAATTTCAAAGTTTTTCGATTTGTTGGACGACACCATTAAAACAGATATTCAATCAAACTGTACCAAATGCCTATTCATAGCAAAAGTAGAAGGGAATACTAAGTACTTCAATAAACAGATCTGGACTTCTCTTGCTTTTTTAAAATGGATTTCTCCTCTCATCTAAATTTTTTTTTTAATTCTGATGATCAAGAAAATTATCTGAAATGAGAGGTGGAATGTCTTCAAGAAACAAGATTTTTATTCCATGATTATTTCATGAAGTTAATAAGATAACAAAAAGGTTAAATCATGTCATCTGGACCAGTTTATTCAAGTGAGAAATGTTTCTTCTCCCATCCAGAGTACTTCCTCAGTCTGCAGCCTGCAAACCAGATCTGTCCCATAGGTAGCCTTCACTGCTGTGTTTCAAGCCAGCTTCCTGTTGGAATCTCAGAAGTAGCTTTTAACACTTTACCTATGGGACAGATCTGATTGCCAGGCCGCAGACTGACAAATTCCTATGGATGGGGGACAAAACTTCTCACTTATAGAAACTGGTCCAGATGCCATTATTTAACCTTTTAATACCTGCATGATTGAGCTTAACCTTTTTTTTAATAAGATGACAAAAAGCCAGATTTTCACCAAATTAATAAGTCTTTGTTTAACTGTACTCATTCTCAAGCCTTAATTTTAAACTAATAAAAAAACATCATGTTATACCATACACCGGTGTTCTTGCTTTTGAGATCTGCTTAGTGTACAGTACTGCATGGAAACCACAGCTCAAGACAAGAATAACTGCAAACCAAAATTTGATCCCTCTCTGCTTAATGCTGCTCATGAAAGGCTTTGTGCTGAAACGTATCTATTACATAAAGACACAGAAGAGACAATCCTCTGTGGAAAATGGGATATCAGTGATAGGACGGTCTTCAGTTTGATGGCAGCATTTCTATTATAATGCTGATTCACACACAGCCACTCAATAAAACATTGTGTCTGTGCCGCAGCTATGCAATTATATTTCCAATTTCTGAATAATCTATGATTAATAATATGACTAATGATTATTTTAAATCATGTGTTTTTAAATGTTTCATTAATTTTGTTTAATGTCATGTACACCAAAGTGTTATCTGCATACAATTAGTAATGCAGCTCATAATCTTGACACATGGAGTTTACCACAATTAGCTGAGCTAACGAAAGGGTAACTTATTCAGAGTTAAGGAAAGGATAATATTAGGAGGGAAAAACCCAATGTTGTGGTTGTTTTTCTTTCGGCTGCTCCCTTCTTCAGGGGTTGCCACTGCAAGCCAACTTGCATGAAAGTTTTTGCAATTGTTTTATGTCATATGTGCAACCTGAGGATTACAAGATCATAGCACTGACCACCGAGCTACTGCAACCACCAGCTAGGAGGTAAAAACACATTGAACCAAGAATCAAGACATTGCTGCCACACCACATCTTGACCTGATGTCAGATGCTGGTTGTTGCAAATACTGATGTTTTTAATCAAAGAAACAGTTTTATTTGACCTCTAATTAGCTTTTTTGTTTTTAGTTTTCTTACTTGGTTTGTTCTACTTTTATTATATTAATAACTCTTTTTTT